TCACTAAATATTTGTCAAAACCCACAGAACCCTGAGATACAGAGTGAACCCCGAAGGTCTGCCGTGGACTTCAGTAACTTATGTATCCCTAAGGTTTATCTATTGTAAATATGTAATGTTAATGCAAAGTGCTCAAAATAGGGGAAATTGTGTTTGTGGAAAGGCAACTCTGTACTATCTGTATAATTTTTCTGTAAATCTAAAGCTACTCTGAAAAACAAAACATATTAAAAATTTTTTAAAAATCTTAAGCAATGCAAAATCCTTGAGAATTTTACGTAGGCCAATGTCATGATCTAAATTTACATTTTCAAAAACTCTAGCCAGTGTTGTGTGGGAAATGGATTATGATGGCCCATGTAGAAGTGAGTGTAGGAGAAGTGGGTGAATTTGGATGGTGGAGCGGAGATGGGAAAAATGGATAAACAATAGAGTCCTGGCCTTGGCCTTGCCTGTGGGTTGAGAGTCCCAGCTGGGTAGAGCTTTTGTTGTCATTATATCATGGTGTTACATTTCTGATTGAGATTGTCTGGTCCTATTCTGCATCATGATAATACAGTCTGATGACCCAAACTTCATGGCATAAAGGATTCCTGAGGTGGGGCTGGGGATTTAGCTCAGTGGTTTTGCCGCCTGCTGAGCAAGCGCAAGTACCCGAGTTTGATCCCCAGTACCAAAAAAGAATTCCTGAGAGTTTTTAAAGAGTGCTGGATGCTTGTTGGCTTAGAAGCCTGTGAAACTGTTGGGTTTTTGCTCTAATTTTATGGAGATGGGAACTGAGGCTCAGGAAGATGTCAGCACAAGCCTAGCTCAGAGCTTGGCCTCCGTGATGCTCTGACTCCAGGCCTCTTTGTTTGCTTCTGTTTGATCTGAATGGGAGGTGACTGTTGTGAGGATGAACTTTTGCTTTTGCCTTCTGAGTCTTTTCACTTGCTTTCACAAAGCATTACTCTTGTATTAAGTGAGGGGGAATAGCAGGAGAAAATACAGGCTGTTGGTGAAGCATCAGAAGAGCTTGTCAAATAGATGTCAGAGCTTCACAGGCTGGATAGGCCAAGGGGGAGCAGTCTTCCCCGGGGCATGGCTCCTCCCTGACCTCACACAGTGCTCCCTGTGGCCAGGTCTAGGGCACAGCGACACTGTCCCCTAGGCTGCTCTGCAGCTGTGTGTCCCAAAGGCAAGCTGCTCGTTCTCTTAGCTCTGATCTGCCAGCCTGTAAAATGGGCATAAGTATAGAACCTCCTTCCTGGAGCTGTTGATAGGACACAAAGAAATAAGGTACTTATCAGAATATCCAGCACACAGACAACTGTCTGTAGATGCCAGCTGTCCTTATAGAGGGTCCTGTGTGCGTGTGCGTGTGCATGTGTGTGTGCACGTACAGTAGGGAAGAGCCTGAGGAACCAAACTGGATTAGTTTTCACACTGAGAGAAAATTACAGTGACAATGAAAGGAGCATGTGGCCATTTCCTCCTCGTGTTTCCGAGGCTATTAGCAGTGCTCCTCTGCTGTCTCTTCCTCAGTAACTGCAGCAGGAGTGCCTGATTCTATCTGGCAGATACAGGGACAAAAATTATGCCAGGCCTGGGTGCTGAGCTCACAAGGCCAGGACCCCAGGTGTGAGAGAGTTTCTTCCTTGAGGTGCAACCTCCCTGTATGGGCATGGTCTGGGGCTGGACTAAATTCCTCTTCTGAGTGTGAGAAAGAACAGATCATCTGCAAGTAGCTCCCTTTACAGGCCTTGCAATCCCAGATAAAGAGGCTTGAGTAAGGAGCCGGCCCCCACTGAGACAGCCATGATGTGGGGCCCAGGCCCAGCTGAACCCAGCTACACTGGGCCTGGGGGCCCCACACAGACACAGCACTGAGCGACGCCCTACTCCCTGCCCTTCAGCCATCTCCTGCCTCTCCAGGCTCAGCCCACAATGCCTCACTGTTCCGGTGCCGGTCCGGTCCTCGCTGACAAAGGCAACCTTGTGTGACCATGGGTTGGTTCCCCCGCAGTGGCTCGACCCCACTGCCTGGAGTGGAATTTCCAGGGCTTCCTACATGCTGTACCTACCTCCTCATTAAAGCCCCCAGGAAGCCCAGAAACATTTGGTGGTAAGCTTCAGAAAGCATTCTGTTGTTTAGAAGAGAGGGCCACACAGAGATCGCAGCCTTGCATAGGAACACCGCACAGAGGCTGCGCTCCGGGCGGTTGTGTGGGATGCTCCCTGGGGGGGCGGATGGGTTAAATGTCACCCTGAGATTAGGCTCTCAAGGGGACATGCGTGGGTAAGGCACTCTGATTGCATGTGCCCTGGGGCCCAGAAGTGTGACGTCCCCGGGCTGTGGTTTCCAGCATGGTTCTGAAAGTCAGGTTGCTGGCTCTCGTGCCCAGCTCACCATCTGCCTTCTGCATGGGAACATGCTTGGCCTACAAAGGGGGTGGCCAGGGTGGGGGACACCTGGCCCCACCTTCAGAAGGTTTGACTGGGGCTGAGAGACCACATTTCTAGCAGATGTGGTGACTGCTGGCTGGAGGATCAGGCTTGAGAACCACGGTGCTGTATCAGCTGCCGAGAGCTACATTGTCATTGTAGGGGAATTTAGCACAGAAAGGCCATGTGATATGGCAGAAAAGTCTGGACTTTGGAGTCAGGTGAATCTTGATGAGACTCCTGGCTGGTAACTTGCTAGCTGTGTGACCTTGGGGAGGTTATTTGACTTTGCTGAGCCAGTGATCAGTTGGGACTCAGGGCCACCAAGCATAGCATGTAGTAATTAGATGCTCAATAAACTCTGGGCAGTGGCTTTCTCCACCTGTGAGATGGGTATGATAACTCACACTGTGCTCTAGCAGGACAGTGTGGGATGATGTTTGCAGAAAGCCCCCAGCATGTGCCAGGGGCTGTTAGGATGTAGGTGCCCAGTGATGCCTGTTACCTTCCTGCCCTCCCAGCTACCTATGTGCTGTCCAGGGAAGGGAGAGGCCTTGCCAAAGCTCCATGGCTCCATAGAGGGAGCCTCCCATGTCCCTGCCAGCCCAGCAGATGAACGACTTTGCTCCCAGGCTGAGCTCCCGCCCCGGAAGCCCCCCTTTTTGGACTGAGCCTCTTCACGCGGAGAAGTCAGATGGCTCTGGTTGGGAGTCTTCTAGCGGATCTGTGCCAGGCTGGACACACATGCCCAGAGTCACCTGTCCAGGCAGGTGGGGAAGCCAGAGTCCAACCTGCATCGTCAGAGTGGGTCTGTGACTCGAGACTGCCTCCACGTGAGGCAGGAGCATCGCTGCTCATTCTGCCACACCTGACCCTGGCCTGGACCCTGGGATATCCAGGGACATCTGGTGCCGTGGGCCCTACTGAGCATCTGCAGACAGGAGCAGGAGGTGGCCGCCACCCTGCACGCCATGCACAGGGAAGTCGTGGGCACTGGGTGAGTGAGGGACCCTCAGCTGTTTGCTGCCCACTGGTGGGAGGGCCTGGCTTGCTAGAGCTTCATTTCCCATTTGGAAGCTGTGCTGGGGCCAGGCAGGAGCAGAAGACGGGTCAAGGGGATCCCTGTGCACCATGTCGCACCATGGGGTGCAGGAGGAGGCAGTTTCGTGGGTCAGTGGGCAGAGAGCTCTGACCCTGGGATTGCTGCTTTCGGGCCCAGGCTCTCGTCCTTGGGACTGAGGATGTAGAAGGAGATGGAAGAAGGGGAGGGAGGCAGGCAGAAGGCAGCAAGCACCCAAAGGAGGCTTGGGTATCAGCCAGGCCCCTCCTCCTCCAGCGGACATGAGGCGTGGGCACCTCTGCCACCCTTGACCTGCAGGAGAGGTCTCTCTGCCTGTCTGTCGGTATCTCCCCTTGCTCTCGATCCGGGTGCTGAGACTCAGTTAGTGTTGATTCTGCCCCCCGGGCTGGCTCCTCCTGGCGTAGGTCAGTGTCTGTAAGGTGAGCTGTTGGGATGACACAAGCGAGCATGGCAAAGAGCAGAGGAGGCTCCTTGAGGTCACAGGGACACATAGCTCCTCTTGCCCTTGTCAGGCTGAGCCACCCAAAGTGACAGCTCTGTCCCGGAGCCCAGATCCAATGTCACAGCCCCTGTCCTCTTCTTTCTTTTCCCATCCTTCCCCGGAGGGGAGACTGGTGCCCCTTTCCTCCTTTCTGTCCCTTTTTGCCTGCAGCTCAGTGCAGGTCCACTTAGGAGCCCAGGAGGGGACACTTCCCTGCATACCTGCCAGGTGTCCGGGACCTGCTGGTCACTTATTCCACCCGCATGAGGCTCATTCCTAATGCTGACCACCTGCTTCTTTCCTGAGCACTTCTGCTGCAGGCTGTGTGCTACATCTCAACCTACATTATCTCCTTTACACAGTGCATCCCCAAACTGAACAGTCAGGTCTCTCGGCTAAAAGGGGTGCACCCAGGACCCGGACCCCAGCCTGTCTGGCTCCATGTCCTGAGCTCTGCTGTGTGATCCACCTCAACACATGTTTATACTCTAAACACCACATGGTGATGTGTGCACAGGGTTTCAGTCTCTGCTGGACTATAATTACCTATAGCAGTTATTTTCCTTTCTTTTTTTTTTTGGTACCCGGGGTCGAACTCGGGTCCTTGTGCTTGTGCAGCAGGCGGTGAAAGCACTGAGCTAAATCCCCAGCCCTATTTTCTAATTCTTTTATTTTATCCACAGACCTTTTTAGAATTACAGTCTTGCACAGACACTCACAGAGAAAGTAAGGCTGAGTTGTTTTGGGAGAGTCAGGGCACAAGCTTCAGACCCGCCCTCTTTCTATGTCCTCCCTGTTGATGGGATCCTAGCTTGGTGCATAGGCTGGGGAGCTGGGAGGGGAGGGGAGTAGAGGGGAAGGAAGAGGGAGAAGGGAAGAGAGGGGCCTGGTACCTGGTACACAGTGAGCTGGATTTGATCCTGAAGGACTTCTTCCTTCTCCATGGTGGCTCACCAGCCTGAGACGGCTGTTGGCTTCCTGTACTCCCTGCCACAACCCCCAGCTCCACAGCCACCAAGGTTCTGCCTCTACCTGGACCCAGCAGTGTCTTTCGAGCCTCAGGTCCTCAGTGAGATCATCCATCCGGTCCCTCCAGACTGTGGCCAGGAATACTAACCACACACACAGCTGTCACCCCAGGAGCTGTAAGGGACCATGGCATTGTCCTCTGCATCGTGAGTGTCTGACACACAGAGAAGCTCAGAAGATGATTTTGCATAAATGAATGAACAACACAAACAGCAGTTTAACAAGACCAAGAACACCTTGCATTTGCATTGTCCATTTGGGCTGTGATGCATTTTTATATCTGATAAATTTTCTGATATTAAAAAACAGCTCAGTGTAAATGGCCACCTCCTCCTATACATGGGGAGAAGGTGTCCATGGAGCCAAAGCACACAAACACCTCTGAGGCTTGAAGTGTGGTCAGAAGGCAGCTTGAAATCAGGATTGACTTTGAGTCTTCTTTCTGGGTTGCTGTTGAAATCAAGACACATCTCTTCAAGCCTTGTAATGAGACAAGGTTGCTCAGAGTCTGCCAGAAACCTGGAGGGTCTCAGGACGAAAGCACTCTGAGCAGATGGGAGTGCTGAGCACAGATTGGCACGAGCAGGCTGCCCAGGGGGAGCACCTGTGCTTGTCACGCTCGTAGATGCTGGAGAGAGGAATCAGCTCACCGGGCTGCTGGTGCCTCCACCATGAAGCAGTCGCTGGGGTCCACCTGGACTGGGATCTGCGTGGGCCTTGCCTCTCTTAGCCTCGGCGTGCCCAGTGGGTACGGACTGGTACAGCAGCTAGGCAGCCACCACCAGCCTCCTCTCCTGCTAGGAGCTGGGGATGGGACAGGCCCCAGCATCTCTCCACTGCAAAGTGAAGTGGCACTTCTCAGTCTTGCGGCTCTGTGTGAAAAATTCCAACAGGCAACTCCAGAGCCCATCCCAGCCCCTAAATGGAAAGGCATAGGTCACTTGGATGAGGATGAAAAAGGTGCAAAATCCACGATGCCTGAAAGGACTCAGGGAAGGGAGCCAGAGGAGGGGCCAAGGTGAATGTCCACGTGAGCCCACGAGAAGAAATCAGAGTCAACCTTACACTGGCGGTGTTCAAACTGACACACAAGTGGGCTGAAAGTCAGGTTAGTGGGCTGAGGCCGATCTTGTTATTTTTATTTTTTTGGGTACCGGGGATCGAACTCAGGTCCTTGCCCTTGCACAGCAGGTGGTGAAACCACTGAGCTAAATCCCTGGCCCCTAGACCCATCTTTTTAAATAAAAAAGGAATAGAATAGATCAGAATGCATTAGGTTCTTAGCAAAATCATATTTTATGTGATTTTTTTCATGTTTTTACTTTATTATACCATAGTATGGCAACTGTTCCATGAAATTTTTATTTTAGTTCCCTATATTTATTTATATATTTATAAGCATATATATATATATATATATATATATGTATGTATATCTTATGGAGATTTGCCTGGTATGTAATCTGATGTAAAGTGTAAATTCTTACTGTAAGTGAAGTTTTGTTTTTTTGGTTACTGAGAATTGAACTCAGGACCTTGCGCTTGCCAGGCAGGCTTGGCACCACTGAGCTACATCCCCAGCCCTGTAAGTGAAGCCTTTAAATGCTTAAAGAACAGTATGTTAGGATATCGAGTAGGGTTGGGGACACTAAGGAGCACAGGTGACGAAAGCACTTTAAATCCAAGTGTTCCTGAACCTCTCCCTGTCATTGAGGCAGGGGTCCCAAACTGCATCCTCCGCTCCCTTTTTGTCCTTATTCCTCTTAAATGGATTATCAGGGTCAGGAGCAGGGTCAAGCTTGGAGAAGGTGGGCAGTGGGTCCAGACTCACATCCCGTCTGCTCCTTCGCACTTAGCATTGTACAATAAGGATGGGTGTAGCTGATGGATGTAGCGCTGTGGCAGGTGCAGAAGGGGACCAGTCCTCTTTATCAAAACACTGGGCAATACGCTTCCCTCGCACTGAGATAAATGCTAAATGGAGATAATCAAAGTATACGTGTTAGCGTGAGTGTCTGTGTGTGTGCTGACATGTATATATGTCTGGTCATATGCCAACGGCGACATCTGGTCAATGTCACTCTGCATATTCAATGGTTCCCAGAGCACTTAACACAGTCACATCATATACTATCTTAGACGGTAAACCTCAAAAGATGAGAACAAATAAAAATGTCCAAGACACAGCCTGTGGCCATGATGTAACCTAATGGGAATTTTCTAATAAAAAATTCAAGCACAAGACTAAAACTTGGAAATCTATCCACGTGGAATTAACAATAACAATAGCAATCTTTGAAAGAACTGGGTTTAAACTGGAAATCAAAATTGCAGCTGCACACTGTTTCTAAAATAACATCATCTTTTAAAATTCATGGATTCTAGCCAAGGCTTTTTATGGTTTAAATATGATATGTTCCCTAAAGACTAATGCATTGAGAGTTCTGAGGGTGTTTGGAGGTGGGTCCTAGAAAGGCGATTGGATTGTTGGGGCACTGACCTCATCAGTAGATTAGTCCATTGGAAGGTTGATAGTCAATGAGCCCTTAGGAGGTGGGGCTTAATGGGAATAAGTAGATCATTGGAGGCGTGGCATGCCTTGGAGGGAATATTGTTTTTCCACACCCTCTTCTTCCCCTTTCCCTCTCACTGTGCTTCCTGGCTGCCGTGAGTTAAGTAGCTCTCCTCTGCTACGCTCTTCTACCTCGATGTTTCTGCCTTGGATAATGAATATTTGAAACCTTGAGCCAAACTAAACTGCTCCCACTTTAAGTTGTGAATGTCAGGTATTTTGCCCCAGCAATGAGAAAGGTGACTAATCAAGGATATTCAGAGGAGAAATTTCCTGCTTTAAATAAAAATGAAGATAATGACCATGGTGGCAATAAAACTACCCAACAAACTGTGCTAAGAAATTGAAATCCTATATTTCAATTTATTATTGGAAAGTTGCTGTGAAATGGCTACTATAATCATCCCCATTTTACAAGTAACAAAACTGAGTCACAAAGAGTTTAAGCAGACTGCCAAGGTCAGTCATACTGAATAATTGGATTGAAATGGGAACCAAGGTTTTCTTGGGCTCTAAATCAAAGCATGTAACCCCTTCATGACACACTTGAATTTCTAAAGTAGAAAGAATGGATTTGAAAGATATAAGTAGCAAAATATAGAAGATAAAACAGCAGAGCAACTATTAAAAATAGGAAGAAAAAAGTAAGCAGAAATGAATCAGTTGGAAAGCAAACAAAAAGAGGAGTAGATGAGCCCTTTGAAAGGGCCATTAAAACATGTGCTCTTCCATGAAGCAAAAGCAACACAAATAGAGGGCTGATCAAGAGAAAATAACCACCCTCACGCCAAGAGGCGAGGAATATGCATAGAACTTCGTAGAAAAGATGTAAAATTGTATGTCTCTGATGGGCCACTCTACACTGGTGAATTAAAACATCCAGATAAAATACCAGTTTGATGAAAAGGTAAGTGGTCTAAATTGACAAAGGAAAAGATTCTGTTAAAAATTGAACCACCAGCAATCAAGGAAGTCATGGAAAAAATTTCAAAGAACCACCTAAAAGTGTTGCCAGGTCTGAAGGATAATTTACAGAAAGATTATTTTAAGTTATTTTGGGTTAGGTGTATTTTAATTATGGAAGTATTTCAGAAAGTAGGGAGAGAGATCTGGCTTCCCTATTCTTTTACCATACCAGCAACACCGAAGGCACTGCCAGGTGAGTCGGCAGAGCACTTCTGTGTGTGGATATGATGCAGGGACTCTAAGCAAAGTCCTGGCAGGCTACATACCACTGTCCATTCATAGGTGCCACTGTGGGCCGATGGGCTCAGAGCAACAACAAACCACAGGGCTTCAACCCCAAATCAAAAGAGGAAAGATACAGGAGAGTGTTGTCAAGCTGAAAGGCTTTTAATAAACACCCACCAGTTCCTGGTGAGAAAGCACCTCAAATTAAAATTAGTAACATATATTTTCTTAATGTGGTAAAATCATTTTGTCTTAATGTACTTGTCAATATCCTGCTTTCCAGAAAATGTTAGAGGAATTTCTATTAATGTCTGGAAAAAGACATGCAAACCCTACACTGTCTCGTAACTTACGAATATTCTGGAAACTCTCATCAGCAAAATTAAAACATAAAATAAGTGGCAGAAATGTTTCTAAATGAAGTTTGTTAACTTTCAGAGATCATGTGACTGGAACCTCAAGGTAAACTATTGATAACAATTAGAACTAATAAGAGAGCTATAGAAGATCTATAAGCTTTCCCGTTATGAAATAAACATACTAAAGTCATGCCTTTTATATAAACAACTAGAAAATGTATTTTACCAATGATTCAATCAAAATATAAAACAGAAATGTTCAGGAATAAATGTAATCAGAGATATTTAGAGCCTGTATTTTATATAAAGAGGAATATAAAATTTGGTTGAAGGCCTAAAAATAAAAATTGAGCACATATAAAAACAAAACAAATTTTTTAAAAAAGTTCCTAGGGGGTCAGAGATGTAGCTCGGTGGTTCTGCTGCCTGCCCTGCAAGTGCAAAGATCTGAGTTCAATCCCTAGTACCAAAAAAAAAAAATTACTAGGTTGGAAGATTTTCCCTGCTAATTTGGCTATAAATCTGAGGCAATCCCAGTTAATATTTCTGTCAGACAATTTCGGTTTTGAGGAAATTATTTCAGAACTACTAGCTGGTAAAAATTGGCCATAAATTTTTTATTTTGCCTGAATAGAAAATTTTTATTTTTCTCATCATAAATATGATGAGATGCTGTAAAATGAAATGGGCACTATAAAAAGAAATCAAGTATAGGAAGTTAAGTGGGAAAGAAAAGATCCTCATAAACACCATTTTCCAGAACTTTCCTGTGCCTTCTGAAATGTAACAGTTTTGTATTTATTAATATGAGTAAATAATTTTGTAATTAAAAGTGTGTGCCTATGATATATAAAACTACTGTATAGTGTGTATTAGTTTTACAGTATATTGTGCTCAACTTTCCATGTCTGCATAGATTCATTTATTTTTCTTATTGGCTGTATGGTATTCTATTGCATGTATATACTGTAATCTATTTAACAAAATGTTCAGTTGATATATGTTTAGGTAGTTTATACTCTCACTATTTTCCTCCTCTTTCTCATTCACTTACACACCCAAAGAAATTGAGCCATTATGAGTCAAACTTTTAGTGTGTGCTACTTTTTTGGTAAATTTTTTGTTTTTGTTTGCTCGAATCAGGCTGTATGCCAAGTAACCAAAAGAAGCACCTCTTAGAATGATTATCTTTGGCGCTTACAGTGATTGCACCATTGACTGTATTTTGTGGGTGCCTAACTGTCATATTTCCCCAAAACAAGGCTGAATCTTATATTAATTTTTGCTCTAGTAGATATAAGAGGGCTGATTTTCACAGGATATCTTCATGTACGACAATTACTTTTATTCTCTCCCTTTCTTTCTTTCTATTGAGCTCTTTTTTTCATTCATCAATTTTATTGGTACATTTTAGGTGTATAATTATTGGGAATTTGTACCTTTACATAACATATCTTCGTTCTTATTTTTTCCCCATTCCCTTGCCCTCTCTTCAAGCCCTCTACCTCTTAAGTTATATTATCATTTGTTTTAAGTGTTAATGTCAATTATATTATTTATATTTAACTTCATATTAATATTATGCTATAATTCACTACATCTGTCCTATGTTGCGTCCGTCTGGCTGATGATCATAACTGGGGCTTATTTTGGGGGTAGGGCTTACATTATAGGCATCCTGAAAAATCGTGGCAGGGCTTGTTTTCCAGTTAGGTCTTATTTTGGGGGAAATGTAGAAGCCACAAATGTGTGAAATGCTCTGCTTAGGGTTGCACAGATAAAAAGTGGCAGATTGGGCATGGAGACTGAGGTCGCCTCTGGCGTTTCAGTTTTGGGCAGCGCATCTGCATTCCTGTCGCCATTTCTCCCAATCAGACGGCTGTGTGGGTGTCTCTGGTGTAGCTTTGTCCCCTCCCTCTGCAGTGACATTTGCGGGGTCTCGAGCACTGGGCTCAGGAGGAGCGCGCCCTGTCCACCCGGCAGAGCCTGTGCAGCGGGTGCATGTGCCTTTCCTGAGTTTATGTGGCTCCCCCTCAGAACAGCAGTTACTTCTGCCCTCTCGGAGGCCAAGTGAGCTGAGGGAGCCTGGGTGGTGCTGAGTGAACCTGCTGCACATCCAGGGACCGAATCTACTCTGGTGCTGGTGTGCAGCTGCCCTGAGCCCCCCTTGTGTGTCCCAGAGCCTGTCTTCTGGTGGGCAGCACTGAGCCACCTTCTGTTCCTGGAACAGCCTCTGCAGCCACTCGTCCCTTGGTCTGTGACCTGGAGTCCTTCCTTCTGTGGTCCCAGGTGGGATAGTGTGTTTCTGTTGGCGGGGGGAGGGGGGGTCCTGCCATGTCCTCTGGCTCCATTCCCCCATGCAAATGTCCCTATTCTGTGCCAAGCCCCTGCCAAGCTCTGGGGACACAAAGCCAATGGGCTGGAGTTGCTTCCTCCCCAAGGAAACAGGGCAGAGGAGGAAACACACCACATGTAAAACCAGCTCCAACACCACCTGCTCACTTGGTCAGAAGGGAAACTGAGGCCCACAGGTGCCACATGGTCTCCAAGCCTGCATGTAATGCAGGGACAGAAAATGTCCCATCCCACTGCCTGCCCCACAGGACCCTTCTGGAGACACTTTGGGGAGGACGAGAGCTGCACACTGGTCCCCTCTTTCCCATCACCCAGTCACTCCCCAGTTCAAACCCAAAGTACCCGTGGACCACAGTGACAGCAAACTCACCTCTGAGCTCCGATGCTGACCAGCTCCCCTGCCCCCAAGAGGGCAGTGACCCTTCCGGAGTAATGCAGAGAAGGAAAGGAGTCTCGTCCCCACAGAAGCAACATGGACTTTCCGGACAGCTCTGCCCAATTTGAGGACAGGGGACATGGGCAGCTGCTCAGTGGGGACTGCTTGAGTGGGGAGAGTGAGAGGGGAGGGAGGAGGGAGGGAGGGAGGGAGAAAGAGAAGAAGGAAAGAAGGAAGGGAGGGAGAAGGGAAGAGGGAGAGAGGAAGGGAAAGCTTCCTGATCTCTTCCCAGAACAGTGGGGAAGTTTGCAAACCCCTTCAGTGGGAAGCAGCTGTTCACTCCTCTAAGCTTTGCCTTCCCCAGCTCTCGATGCCTCTTGAGGGCTCAGCGTCCTTGTGTGTGATTGGAGGAGGAGATGCCTTCCAGCTCTAGCGCCACTTGGGTAATGAGACATAGCGGGGTGAACACCACCATAGCACTGGGAAAAGCTGCTCCTGGCTTTTTCTGGACAGAGCAGGTCCTCTGATGCTTCAGCCAGGGATGAACATGCTGTCCCCAGCCTGCCCATCAGGACCCTGCTGTGTTTCCAGGAGGCTATGCAGAGGCCCAGGCTGTCTTGAGGGGATCAGTCGGGGGCAGAGAGAATCTGGCGAAGGTTTGGCAAGTGCTGGTGGAGCTTGGGGCAGAGGAGGGAAAGTGCCTGAGTCCAGCTTCACAGAGGGAGCCAGGCAGTGGGCAGTGTCCTGGGCACCGTTACCGAAGCTAAGCAGAGCCATGTGACATGGCCCTGTGTTTTCAATTACTCTCCCTGTCTTTCCCTCTCTGTCCCAGGCCTGGGGTTGGCAGCCACTCCGGGCCCTGCCTGGCTCCTCCACTGCAGCCCTTCTTGGGTGGCTCTTCCTCTCTGCGCTCTGGTGACAAGACTTGCTCTGAAAACCATCCTCACTCAGAGCCAGAAGTTCGCCCCTGCCTGGAGTGCTGTTCCCTCTGCCGTGTGACCACAGAAGGGCAGCTTCTCTGGAAAAGCTGATTCTAAACACCTGATGGCGCTCACCAGACTCAATCCAGAGTGGTCACAGGGATCGGCTGGTTCCCTAGAAGAGATGTCCCTCTGCATGCCCAAGCCCTCCCTGCAGCTCATCCCCAAAGGTCCTGTTCAGTCTCGTGCTGGAAAATGCCCACGAGTGACCCGCCCCACTGGGAGAGGAGCTGGAGAAGGGGAGTTGGGTTTGCATTCTGGGAACCCACAGGGATTGTACCAGTGCTTGGTGGAACGGGAACATGAGATCCTGGCCCCAGAGAGGGGTGGGATGAGGAGAATTCAAGCTTTGACCAAGGATCACTCTCCTCTCTTAGGCTTGGAGTGGGATAAAAAACATCCAAAAGCTCTCTCTCTTGGCCTTGGATGTCATTGTTTTCCATGCACTATACCAGCTGCATCAGACAGAAGAACCATTATTCTATTGTCTTCTTTTAAAGCCAAAAAAGAGATCCTTTGGTTTACATAACTGAATAGTGTGTCTTCAGGCATGGCTGCATCTGGGTGCTCATTTAATAACATCTGGACTCTCCCCTGTCACACTTTCTCTCTGTCCTCCTTTGTGTTCTCATCTCTCTCCCTACTCGTGTCCATCAGGCAGCCCTCTCTATGTAGTGAGCCTCAACAACTCATATTTGCAGCCCCCCTGTCATTTAGTATCAGAAAAGGATTTTCAAACAGAATTGACTGTCTTTCAAGTTTTCAAATGGCAAATTGATACTAGCTGATGACAGCACACACACGCGCACACACACACACACACACACTTCCTTCTCCTTAACTTCTGGGAGGCTGTGGGGTGTCCTAATGAGCTGACGGAGATGGAAGGAGTTTGGGGTACGTGAACATCTGCAAGGACTCTGGGCTTGGGTGTGACCGCCTGTGGGAGTTGAATGTGCCGAGTGCTGGGAGTGCTGGCAGAGGGGGTGCCGGCAGTGTGGGTGTGAAAGGGACCTCTGAAAACCAAGGCTTGCAGTGAAGAAGAAAACTACCTCCACAGCGGGGCTCCGTGCACCCCGGCCAGGTTCCAGCACTGGCACCTGCTTCCTGACCCCTCCAGCATGCACACTGAGCCTTCTGGAGATGAGCTCATTGGCCCTGACCAGCAGAGGTGGAAGTGACCAACAGAGCTGGGGTGCTGGAGGGGAGGAAGTGCTCTGGCTGGGGCTGAGGAGTGGTGAGGGCAGAGGGTGTGGAGGGAGGGAAGGGTGGAAGTGACGGGCCCTGGAGACAACACCCAGGTTGGAAGACGGAACAAGCATAATGGAGATTCAGCACAGAGGGCCAGGCTGAGGCTAACAATGAGGGGAATCATCAGTGATGGCCCAGAGCCTTCAATGACGCCTAGCTGTGTGATTTTTCGGGGGGAGGGAGACTGCCCCCAGGGGTGTAGGCAAGGCTGTGGGCCTGAGTGGGGAGCAGTCTGTGGTTCCTCAGCCTGAAGAGTTTGGTCCTGGGATTGAGGATGGAGTGAGAGTCCTGCAGCAGCTGTGATAGCAGCATGTGCCCCTCAGGGGAAGGACAAGTGCAGTGCTTTTGCTGAGCTTTGGCAAGCTCTGGGCAGGCGCCACACTCTCCTCAAACCCGGCAGGGGTGTCAGGCAGGACCCCAGCCTCTCAGGTCCTGGGCTCTTGTCCGTGAAGGAAGGACTTGAGACAGTGCTGTCTTCAGGTTCTGGGCTCCCTCTAGAGCTCAAGGGGGGAACAGGGAGGAGCAAGAGGGGGCCATGCAGGTGGGGCTCAGTCTTCCCTGCCCTTCCCACCTGCTCTGTAGCTCAAGCTCTCCGAGAGTTTGCTTAAAGGTTGGCTTCCAAGTTGAGACTTAAAGTGCTGGATGTCATGACCCCTGTACTCTCTCCTGAGATGCCAATTGCAAACTCTTCTGCCAGCGCATTGAGTTTATACTTACTGCTCTGTGCCTCAGTTTCCCTATCTGCAGCATGAGGCCTTGGACAAGAGACATGCCAGGATGGGGTCACTGTGAGCCTGGAGTTCAGGGGTGTCGACCACCTTGTGTAACTGGTGGCAGCAGAGTGGGAGGCTCCTGACCTGGAGGATGACCTGCCCGTCTGTCCTGCTTCCTGGGCACCAGCACCCAGGCCCAGTTCCCGGACTGTGTCCTTCCCCACTCGCCAGCAGCAAGTCACGTTGCTTCTTCCCATTTCCTCTCTCCTCCAGGGACTCATGAAGTGGTGGCTAAGCCCAGTTCAGCTGCTACCCGTCTGCTGAGGGCCAGAGACCAGGAAAGGAAGAAGGGCAGCTTTACTTCCTCTCTGAGGATGGAGCCACACAGCCGTTCTGCAAAGAGCCGAAAATCCACCAAGTTCCGGTCCATCTCCCGTTCCCTGATCCTCTGTAACGCCAGGACAGGGGACGATGGCTCTAGCCCTGATGAGAAGTACCCAGAGCCCTTTGAGATTCCACTGGGCCAGGCCGAGGAGGGGAGTTTCCACTCTGCTGTGCAGCTGGCAGATACATCAGAGGCCATGCTGGCCTCGGAAGCTGCTCAGCTCCAAGCAGCCGGGAGTGACCGAGGCAAGAGCTGTAGGAGAATGTTCTTCATGAAGGTATGCTCGAGCTTTGTGGGGCCAGCAGAGCCTATGGTTGGTGCCTGGGGCTGTGAATTAGTCTTTAAACCCATGTATTCAAAGGTCAGGAAGCCAAGGTCTTCTAATTCTGAACAGCAGCAAGGAAAAAGTTGGGGCAGGGCCTCCTGGAACAGTAACAATGAGCATGGCAGTGAACCAGGCTCAGTCACCACTCTTGTTGGAGAAATGCTGCAAAGCACTGTGTCAGTTCAAGGCACACTGAGCCTAGATCCCTGCTGGGAAATGCCAGGTGCAGTGATGAACACACCAGGAAGCTCTCACCTCTGGAGAGGCATAGTGGACCCATGACAGGCGGTCAGTTCACACCTGTCCTGAGGGCCTCCAGACACAGAGTGAGGGCTCTGCTCCCTGAGTGCCACCTGGAACCTTCTCCAGAAGCCCTGTGCCAACCTCAACAGAGGCCTGGGTGTGGAGGGTGATGAGTGAAGCTATAAACTGGAGAAAGGGGATGAAGTAGTGTTTGGGGACTCGCCAGAATTGAGTGTTTTCTTTTCTGTTGAACCATATTTCCATATTTCCAGTGTCACTGAAATGACACTGACATGGCAGGGTCCTGTGGGATCCAGGCTGATTACAGGACTTTACTCTTCAGTTGTTCCCTGCTGAGCCCCGTGCTTTGTGTCTTCTGTGGAAGAGGGTGTCTCCTGGCCCAAGACCGGTGATAGTGCTGAGCACTCAGGGTCTCCTGGGGCCTATGTCAGGTCCCTTAGGTAGTCACATGACTGTGATCAGCAGACGGCCTCAGAAAAGAAAGGGCCAAGGACCTTCAAGCACCTGGCCTCCTTCAGGAGGAGGCCACTAATTGCCACATAAACAGGATAAGGTAACATTATATGGCACACAGAGGGGACACCTGCTGATCTTCAGAGCCAAACACCAGGTTTCCCTGAAAATATGACCTAGCCAGAAAATACAAGTCAGCCTTGAAAACTAAAGATCAGAAATGCCAGCCCAAATCAGCCCATCCTGGCCGTACTGGCCCTCACTATTTTCTTGCTCGGTGGCTACTCTGTAAGGCAGGGAAGGCCAGGATAGGCTGATGAGGCTGGCATTTTTGATCTCTGGTTTTCAAGGCTGATTATTTTGCAGCTAGGTCTCATTTTGGGAAAACAGGGTAGCATCGTTCACGTCCCCACCCAGTCCAGGCCTCTCTGTTACCCACAGTGTGACTCCTATCAATATATACTGAACTCACCTGATGGAGTAGAAGGAGAAGCCAACAACCTCATGGGTTTGGGAAGGCTGGTAAGCTTCAGATAGCCAAAAAGGATGAGACACATATACAGCAGGCCACAGGAGAGTCGCATTTACGAATGACAATAGGAAGGTACCCAGAGGAGAGCTCAGATAAATGAAGTTCTACAATCATTTCAAGATCCCAGTCGACACTTGAGTGGACTTGCATTGCCCGAGTCCCTACAATGTGTCAGTCACTGAGGATCCAAACCCGTCCCTCAAAGAACTTCCACATAGCAGAGTAAAAACTGCCCTGTGAGAGAGAGTGGGGGCAATAGATGCCCAGGGCAGGGGCACACATGTCTGGGGTGGTGCCTTTGCTTATGGAGCTCTGCTGTCCTGGAGGGTGAGCCAAGCAGACTTGTCCCTGTCCTCAGCGCCTTCTGTTCTAGCCAGGGGGTACAGACAGTAGGGACCAAACAAATGACATCACATAAGAAACAGGAAGCGAGAAGAGGGGTTGGAGGGCAAGGAGGAGCTCACTGTCATCTTGGAAAGGTGACCACGGAGCTTCTGTAAAGACGCGGCTTTCCATGGAGGGTCTGAATGAGGTGGAGGAGCGAGGCCCTGGACAGAGGAGGAGAAGCATCACAGGGCCAGAGGGCTGGGGCACAGCCTGCAGAGGACAGGGGAACACGCTGGGCCGGGGCGGTGCTATGGCAGGGACTGGGACTCCCTGAGAAGGAGGGTCGCAGCAGGGTGACGTGATCTCAGAGAATGGGGAGCAGGGGCCTGTGCAGGCACTGCAGTGAGAACCAGAAGGTGCAGCATGGGCCAAGAGGCCCGGGGCAGAGGCACTGGGAGTGGGGCTCTGGTTTCCAGGTGAGGCCAGCAGGGGTGGTGAGGGAAGACTACAGACTCTGAGGGCAGGAGAGGAGCCCCTTCTAGCTGTACTCTTGGGCCTGGGTACCTCAGGGGAAGGAAGTGTGGCGTCTAACATGGCTCTGGCTTTCCCTGGTTGACATAGGCTTTTACAGGCAGGGCTGGGCAGCAGAGGAGTCCTGGTGGAGGGAACTGCTGGAGCAGAGGTGGAGCCTGAGGCTGGGGACTTGTGCCTGGGCCATGGGCACAGTGGAGGGAAAGGCTCCATTCCTGCACCTGAGCACCAGCAGCAGATTGGACACCTAGGGAAAGCCAGGCCACAAGGGCCTGGAGTGGCAGAGGGGATGGCGGGGAGGAGTCAGGGATGGCCTTCACATTTTCCATCTCTTTGTGATCCTCAGGTGCTGTGTACTGTGATTTAAAAAAAAAAAATCACAGTTCTTATGTTGGTTTCCTTGGTCCCCCAAAGCCCTAAGAGAGGACAGTCACAGCAGGATTGGTGTTTTGGGGGGATGCAGTGGCACGGGGCTTAGGGATTTGGGCTCCTTCCTTCTGATGGTCTGGCTTGAAGTCTAACTCATCACTGTGACCCTGGATGATTCCCTTTACCTTTCTGAGCCACACTTTCCTCACCTACGGAATTAGGAATGTTAATAATAGTGTAAAACCTCATTTGGGTTTTATGAAGATAAAGTGACAGTCACACGAGAAACCCCATCTACCCCAGTACATCCTACATAGTGATTACTTGATAAATATTATTATTTCTACTCTTTAAGGATCCAGGTACTGATTCTGAGTAAGTACTTAATGAGGTCAGTAGCTCTTACTGAGGCCTTTCCATGTGCCACACTCAGGGACAAAGGACAGAGGGGACCAACAGGTGGCTCCCAATGTGGCTGGGGTGTGGGGCAGATGTGCCAGGGTGCATATCTATTTTGGGAGAGGCATCCTGTGGCAGTAGCTGTGGAAAGCAGGAGGCTCCAGCTCCAGGAGAGTGGTGGTCGTGTGCAAGGGACCCATGCCTGGCCCGGAGGTGAGGTGGACTCGCTGAGGCTAGAGGAAAGGGCAGCCTGATCGGCTGAGTCAAGTTTGAGGCAGGAGTGAACTGGGATGGAAGGGGCCCACCTTGGGCCCCCAGGTCTTTTGTTCCTTTGAAATCAGCAGGTGATTCCTAAAGGCCCACTAGTGAACTATGACAGGCAGGAGTCCTGGTGTCCAAGCAGATCTTGTGGTCAAGATTCCAGGTCAGAGAAGCCAAAGGGTACAGCTCGTGTCAGTGTCATTTTTGGAGGTGCCCAGAGCCATGCAAGCCCCACCCCCCCGACTTCTGGCAGAGGCTTTCGAGTCCCTGCCCAGCTGTCCCCCTCCTTGCCCCAACCTGGGCAGCCCTGCAGTCGGGCGTGACTCAGTTGGCCCAGATGGACTCAGCAGCCTCCAGCACTGCCATAGTTACATGGTTTCAAAACAACATCTGGAATGAGGCCCGGTGACATCAGCCTGTCTTCCAGAAATGCCTAATTTGAAAATTACAGAAGAGGAAGTTGTATAAACATTCAGCTTGAAAAGAAAAGGCTAATAGGGTGGGTGGTGCTGGGCAAATGCTGCAGATGCAAAGCAACCTGAGCCTGAGATCCTGACAGGCTTTCCCGGGGGAAGGGTGCTTTGATCCTACCTGGCAGAAAGCTAGAGGCCAAGCTTTCTAAGGAACAACTACCACGGATGCAAGTGAAAGGAGGAAGTAAATTGCCTCCTGGCCTTTCTCAAGTGGAAGAGGATTTTAAACGCCCTTTAAGCCCAATACTGAGGCCAAGGGGAAGAACACCCAGCCAGGTGGAATGGGAGCTCACCCAGCCCTCTTCCTCTGTCCTCTTCCTCTCTCTCTTCTCCCCAGGTCTCCCAGTCTCTTCACATGTTGGAAAGCACCTGTTTTGAGCTGTGCTCTGGGTATAAAGAAATAAATCTGGTGCTGCACTTGCAGGGAGCTTGCTGTCCAGAGAAGCATAATTAATTAACCCCGCCTTCCCCAAGCTGTGGTCTTGCTGGTCAGTTTCACAAAGAGGGATTCATTCCATGCCCAGTGCTCTATCAGGAGACTCCCAGGCTACTGGCTGGCCTGTTCCCTGTCACTGTAACAGAACAATGCAGGTGGGGTCCTTTCTGAAGAAGAGAAGGTCAGCTCAGTGCTGTGGAGCCTGGGAAGGCCAAGGACACAGCTTTTGTCCTGCAGTGTGACTGGTGGGAAGTGAAGGAGTGAGCAGGTGCGTGTGGGTGCAGAAGTGACAGGCGAAAGGAGCAGACCGGGTTTACAATCACCCTTTTCCTGGAACTAGCCTAATCTGGGGTGAACATGGCCTCCACGCCAGCTCTGCTGCCCTGGGAACTAAAGTTCCCACTTGTGAACTTGGAAGACACATTCCAGCCACCGCAGTTGCCTTGCCTTTCTGAGAGCGCTGGACAGTATTAGGACTTCAGCTCTTGGACCTGGGGCTTTCCAAGGAGGGAAGCAACAGGTTCAGCTAAATTACAGTGCAATCTGAGCATCTCAGAAACAGGCCAGAGAGCTCGGGTCAGGCCGAGATCCTCCTTTCCTATCTCTGCGGAAGATGGGCTGGAGGGGCAGTGGTGTGGGCGCAGGCAGCTTGGGAGGTGGAGCTGCAGAGGAGCACAGCCTGGAGTCTGCTCTTGCCCAGGCTCTTTCCTGGGGCCCTGCCTTTGCTCAAGGCCAGCAGCTCCTCCCTTTACAGGCCAAGGGCTGCATGGATGCGGTGTCTTTTTGGTTTCACCATTTGGATCCATTAGTCTGTTTTTTCCTATCCTTGTGCTAATAGCACACGGTTTTACTTACTGTAGCTGTATATAAGATTTTCAATGTCCGGCCATTTAAATTTTCTAGCTTT